ACAAAGATGATGCTTGATTCCCTATAAATTTCAAGAGAAAATGCTGAAAAAAACATGCCAAAAAGTTTTTTGACTTTTTACGACAGGTATTGTATATCCTAAGGAACGCCTTCTGCCAAGAGTCCTTTCTTCGCTGCCCTATAGTGCCTTTGAATGTAGGTGAAGCTTTTGGCTATTGATATTCTATAAAAGTCATGTATATTCAATTTGTATTCTGCTGTTACCCATGCAAAACTGTTACCCAGTTCTCCTCTTCCATACAAGTCTCCTATGCATTTTGCATCTGCCTTTTTCTGGTGAGTTCTCATTTTCCCCAGTGGAGTCTGGCATGTGGGATGTGCCAGCCGGTTCATGGGATGCCGAACATTTTCATTCTCATCATGTTGTCGCTGTCAAAACACAAAGCTAGTGAAAAAGAAAGAGAAGTTTTCCAGTGGCTCTGTGTGGCTTTTCTCCCTGACACTTTACTTTTGGCTTATTAATGCACCTAGGATGATTTCTGGTCCATCCTGTAGCAGCAGAAACCAACCTGCAGTCTCCAGCATGTGTTAAGGTTGCTAGGCTGCTGTTTCATTCTCTCAGTTACGTAGATATTTGTTGATAGTTCAATTACTTGATTTCACTGAGCTGAAAATACGAACATTGCTAAGGATAAAAGCCATATAAACATCCCCATTTGCTCTTAAAAAAAACAATTTTTTACAATCATTTGGGGTTTGCAGTTCAAAATGATATTTAAATGTTAATCACTTGAAACTGTGGTTGGGCATATAATTCAATTATGGGACCATCTTAATTATGCAGATGGTGCTTATGAGCATCTGATACAATTACAGTGCCAATTCAGTACACATTCGTTCAAAGGGTTTAGCTGAAACACATTATTTCAATGTGTGTGGACAAATTCACTTTTTCAGGAAATGGGTTCATGGAATTGTAATACTGCTCTGCTCTGCTCATTGCTTTCAATGGCGTGTAAACCACAAGGTCTTTAACCATTCTGCTGTGTTCTGTGGTGGTCCTAGGCTTGCAAGAGTTTTCTTCATGTTTTTAGCATATCCAGAGGGATGAAAATGGAGACTTGAGGTAATAATCCATCATCCCTCTGGGTAGCCGGCGGTTTTATTTCTACTTGAATTTTTAACCTCCTTCTGAACGTTGCACCACATCTGGAGGCCAGGCATAAATCTCATCCAATCAAGCTGATAACAAAATAGGAAAATTAGTGGAATTTACTTTCACCATAAATTGGTGCAAAATAAATACAATGTAATTCTTGCTAAAATAAGACTCAACTTTTAATATTGTCCCTCCTTTTGGTGTGAGTACAATAAAAGAAACCCTTATATGTTTTACAGCATGGTTCAGTGTTTAAGGAAGATCAGTGTTTCTGCTTCCTAGAATATGTTTTTTTCATCTGCCTTTGTGTTAGTTTTAAAAAAAAAAAAAAAAAAATCTTATAAGCACTCCATGTGAGGCCAGCCTTGTATACCTAATTAATAATTAGATGCCATTAGGGGGGCTGTGATAGTGAAGAAAGATTAAGCAAAGAATTGGAATTCATACAGGGGAATATTCAGGAGGGGATATTTTAAAATGACTGAGAGTTTTGAAATGAATATAAACCTTAATGATTCTGGCCAAAAGTCATCCTCTAACTCATAGTAAGTAGGAGGAAAAATTTTTTAGGGATGATTTATTCTGCTTTCTCACAGTTTTTCACTTCCACTCCACCTCCTTTCTCACTGATTCTGATCAGAAATAGGTCATTAATCTTTCTCATGATCCACTGAGTATGGCCACATCTGTATTACCATTGAGCACATTATCTGTCCTCTTTAGATTTAGGCACTGCACGTATATTGCATAGATGATATACAGAATAGGTGTTGTCACTTCAGAAAAGCTGTGTAGTACCTGAGTTCCCACTTCTAAACAGTCCGCACAAGCACTTTCCTGTTCCAAATTACTTGCTCTGATAGTTAAAGGAGAGACTGTGCCTCTATTTGTTGCTGTGTATAGGATCAGTTTCTCTCATTTTTGGCATTTCGCTCTTACAGAAATGTCACAGATTATATCACCATGAATCTAATAATGGAAAATTCATGCCAGAAAAACTTGTCACATTGTAAATTCTAATTTCCAGCATTGGGTTTATTCATGTTTTGTTGAAACTAATCAGAGAATGGATTCAAATCCTGTGTATTCAGTGCAGTTCTAGGTCAGAATTGCTCTGAGGGTTTTTTAAGTGGGATCAATGATGGTTAGACTTCAAGCCCACTCTTCACACAGGAGCTAATAGAATCTGCAGAGTGCAGCTCTGCTGTGTGTGCACTTCTTAAGCATCACAAAAAGACATGCTGCTTGTCCACACAAACAAATACAACTGTAGTTCAGTTGTAAATTCTCTTATTACTGAGATTATTTTCATTTTTGCTTTATGCTTTGTTACAAGTACTGCTTGCAACATAAAATATTACTATAATATTAGTTAAAAATTAACATCTAGCAAAGTAAATCAAAGTACATACTTGCTTTCAGTTTTCTTCCTGTGTAAGTTAGGTACCAAGCCTCTGTGATGGAAGGACCAATCTAAGCTAATGTGTGTTACCTAAAAACAATGTGGGACCCCAGTGCAGAAGGACGGAGGGTAGAAACCAAAGGATTTGTAATGGCTAAATGCATGTCTTGGGATATTGTTCAAAACTCAGCAGCTGATTCTGCCTTCTAATAACTTGTTAACCTGTTCTTTATGGAAAAGATAATGTACAAGCTTGAAAGAGAAATGCATAATGCACAAGAACCAGGAGAGAATGAAGATTGTTTTGCCTTAGACATACAGATGGCTGTAAGAAGCAAATAGTAAGAAATGACATTGATGTTTACTTTTGGAACAAAATCTCAGAAGTTGAATGCATCAGAGGAACTGTTCCTGCAGCCTAATATGAAAATTATCCTGTTACTTCTGGTGGAGTCAACAGGGGTGTGGATTAGGTGCCACATAATTATCAGTCACAGAAATACAGATTCCAGAGGGGTCATACTAGTGCTGCTTATGATTTCATAACATTTTTTTAGCTATTAGTTCATGCAAAAATGTCACCTCATTTTTCCATCGTTGCCTTCTATGGGACTTCCTCTTATCTAATGTCAAACTTCATTTTCCACAATGTATAAAGAAGAAAATTCGGGTAAATTGATATTGACTTTTCTGTAGGCTAGAAAGGTGTGTTCTGCTCTGGCACCCTGTCATTCCAAAGCACTGCATTCCTGTCCTCCTTGAGAAAAGGGCTCTACTCAAGTATGCATCCATCTTTTATGTATCACTGTAGCCATTTACAGCAGTAATGAGACTCTGCCAAAATGACAGTAGGACCAGAGAGGTGTAGTGAGTGTACAATGTTCCAAAGGTTTCAGCAATGCAAAGGCAGGGTGCTATGCAGAGGAAACACCTTCTGAAGTTATTTTTTGGAGCAAAAGAAAAGCATCATGTGCAGCTAAGAAGCATGCGTTTCTTCCCTGATAGGTTGCTCTGTTGTCCATAGTTATGTATGTGCAGTTTGTTGAAAATGGAAGTTCCTTGAGCTGTTAGACGTGTATTTAAGATGGTATATTTGCTTGCTGAGGAATGGACGATGTCTTTTCCTTTTTACCTATAAACACATTTGTTTTCTGATTTAGTATTAGTGTGGTGCCTCACAGAGAGCCACAATGTTGCAATATTAAGACCTTCAAACTCATGGACAAAGTAGCAAGAATTTTGAGACCAAGAGAACTGAGTTAACATCATATACTGTTTGCAATGTACCATTTTTCTCAGGCTGATAGTAGTCAAAAGATGTGGATTTGGGCTTTTGTAAGAGCAATAGGTCATTTCCTGCTATTTTCCTTCTAAGTGTAAAATACCACGTATGCAGATGGCAATGACAATTTAACTGTATTGGTGTTTGATTGTCTCAGAGATCCAGCTTGTTGTTGGGATTGTATATACTTGTTATATGTGACAGAACTCTGGCTGGATAATCTAAGAGAACTTGCACAAGTACTGTCCAAGATTTTCTGGCTGAACTGATTAGTTCTGCCAACTGGCTGCTGTGTAGATGTGCAAAATATATATTTAAAAAAAAAAAAAAAATGCAAATTGCCTTTGTGCTGCTTTTCCACAACTGCACAGGAATCTCGTGTAACTGGAATGGAGTAGGTTCATAGAATTGTAGGACAGTGGAGGTTGGAAGGGACCCCAGGGGATCATTAGCCAATGAGACTGGACAACCCTTCCTCAAAGCAGAGCCACCTTGTTAGGTCAGAGCAGGATCCTCATGGCTTTATTCAGTAGCATCCTGAAAACCTCCAACAATGGAGAGACTGCACAACTCCTCTGAGCAATCCAGTTCACTGCTTGACTATCTTCAGGTATGATGTGAGCTTGGCTTTCCAGAAGTTTTAGTCCAGACCTTCCACTTCTCTCTTCTTGTCTCTGAGGAGAACCACATTTTCTTTCCCTCCATGATCAAATTAACCCTGCACTCCTTATCAAAACATGTCAAACTTCCAGAATTTCAGTTAGACTTAAGACAGCTGCTGGTAGAGAAAATTGGAAAAAAAGGTTCTTCTCATTGTGGACTATGTTTATGAGTGTGTGCATGGAATAGCAAGGTGGGGAGTATTTGCCATTTCCATGTATATTAAGCTGAAGACTTCTTTCAATATTTGTGTAGAATTTTGAACAAAGGGCGGGGGGCATAAAAAACCCCAATCTTTTAACTATTTTAAGATAGGTAGCACTGTTATATGTCTGTGTACTCCCCAGCTATGAGTGTACTAACATTCACTGTGGGTTTTTTCACCTTTTTAATGTAACAGGTAAATGAAGACCTTTAAACGTGGGTTGGCTTTGGTGACTAGGTTAATATTTTTTTGGATTTAAACCCAAAGTTCAGTCTTATCTTTATTTGATTATTACAAGATTAATGAATTATAAACCTTTCCTCTGTTTTCAGGCTTCTCAATGCCAATAAGATCAACTGCCTGAGGGTAAACACGTTCCAAGGTCTGCATAATCTCAAACTGCTATCTCTTTATGACAACAAGCTGCAGACCATCAGCAAGGGGCTCTTTGCACCTCTCCGATCGATCCAGACTCTGTGAGTATGCAGTTGTATCATAAATGACAGCACTCTTGTTTTCCACTAAAGGTGTTGCCTGTCTTTGCAAAGGCTTTGCATCTGACATTAAGACAATTTGGAAGAGACCCCAAGGTAGTAGCCCCTCCATTTCTTACAGAAATAAAAGGAGGAAGAAAAAGAAGTATTGCATAAATTCAGCACACCAGCGATCGGTACAGCCTGCCCATAGTGACATAAATGTCATAAGTGTATTAAGCTCCCAGAGCTGTTTGTTGGGAAGATAATACGTAAATTTGACTCTGTACAATATATGAAGAGCAGATTCTATTAAAACCATTGCCTAATAGTTTTCAATGAGCTAGTAAGTTGGTATCTCTCCTTACTGGGTCTTAGTCCTGCTGCACCTTTTGTGACTTCTGAAACTGTGTTTCAGCTGACATTCCACTTAAGGGCAATGATACATTGTATTGTTTGATCCCTTAAGAAAATCCACTAAACATTTTCTGAGAGTCTTTGTATTGGAGGTATTAGAAGACAGGTCAGAAGCAAAATTGGAAGCAAAAGTATAGAAATGACTCAATATTTTACAGAAGGAGGTTTCATGCTAAAGCTGTGAGTAATAAGGTAAACAGTACTCTTTCAGAGCTGGAGTTGGCAGTCTGGTACAAATGAAAAACAAGGAAGACCCCCCCCTCACCCAATATTGTTTGTGTGTGTTTATATATATTTGTGTGTGCATATATAGATATAAGGCTCTGTGTGTTTATGTAATATGCAAGTATATCCATTTCCAGTATTAAAATATATATGTGTATGTGTATATAGATGTACTGGAATATATATGCACATTATATATGTATATACATACACATACTATAGTACTGGAAATATATATATACACATGCACATATATATTTTAATACTGGAAATGTATTGGCCAAATTAGTTTTATAAATGTTTTAATTCATATAAAAGTGAACTAATAGGGATGGTTTCTAGCAGCAGGGTACCTGCTACTCCTCAGGCAGCCACAAGCACAACCTTAATTTCCAACAGATATCTGGCCAGTATGTGTTGCTGCAAACCATTAAGGCATTAGAATAATCATGTACAAACCCCCCCAGTCCTGCCCGTCCTTCCCCCCCACCCCGTGCTTTCTTCTGCTGCAGCATGCTATGTATGTACATAGATATGTATGTAAACAAGGGCAACAGAGAAGGTTCATTTACAGAGGTCTATAAGGTTTGTCAAGTTCAACAACAGGCAACACCCTTAAGGCATAAAAATTTCTCCTTGGTTTCCATGGGGTTTTATTGGCACTCCTGGCGACTATTACTTAGAATGGACTTGTTGCTTCACATCAAGATGGTTTTTCATGAAATGTTTTGATTCATTCTCCATTTTTAGAACTCCAAGTGATTGCCATTTTCTGCCTTTTTTCTAGAGCTACAAAACCAGTTCCATATCCTGTCTTTATATGCTTGCTTGTTCTTTGGACCTTTCACACCAGGATTGGCTCTACTACAACAGTAATCTTTAGTTTCTTTGGGCACTTTCTGCTATGTATGCTTTCACTTCCCGCTCTTTGACAGCCCCTGAAGTGACAGTTCATAAATATAACTGCAAACAGAAAAGAAGAGATGTTTCTACAGGTGGAAAAACCACACTAATAGTAACAGAGCAGAGTTCTTGTGAGGCTATAACTTTACACCTCTGTCCAAACCAAATTTAAACATCTTTCTTTTTTTAAACTGTCTTTGCAGTTATCGGAGAGCTGTGTCCTGCTCACTTGGAAGTTAGAGGGACAGGTGCAAGTTAACTTAACTGAGATCAGAATCAAACTCTGAGAAATACCTGACAAACTCTTCTGATAGAGTGCACAACTTTGTCGAGCAGAATGAATCATAACAGCAGCAGAGAAATGCTGTTTCTCTCTAAGATGCTCCAGCAGATTTCTATTAACAAAGTCTAAATAAATATCCAGTTAAAATCAATGCCTAATAGTACCTATCTCCAATTGTGTGGGAAATATGTTGTGCAAATTTTGCTAAAGGATAGAGTCAAGTTCTATCTTGCATAAACAGTTCAGTCTCAAATGTAAAAATTTTTGCTCCAGGAAAAAATACATATAAGGGAAATACTATTACACATGGTGTATATATGCAAATATCAATTCCACTCTTGAGAAAAGAGCTCTGGATCACTTCTGGCTTTGCCCACAGATCCAAGGCACTTTACTAATTTGCATTTTGATCCCTAGGAAACTGAGCTTGCCAATAAAAATTTTTTAAACCAGGATACAAAATGATCATCAGGTCAGGTGCACCTAAAAAGGTGCATTTCTCTCAAAAGGCAGCATATCAAGCTCTCAGGAGAAAACATGGGACTTTGTAGACAAGAGGTCTGTGTCCTTTAAAGCAGGCTTTGCTATCTTAATTTTTGTTTCCTCTGTGAAAGGACTTGCAGCAGGCTTAATGAGCTATGAAATGTGATAGCTCACAGAATTCTCCCATTCATGTGCAGCTCTGTGTGGTTTCCGCCAGGCCTGGGTTTTTGGAAGATTATTCAATTACTCTACTCTTCAGGTTTGCGTTTGTGAAAAACAGTGATGGAGTACAGTGTCACAGGTCACTTCTGATTAAACATCCCATCCTTCTTGCAGACATTTAGCTCAGAATCCATTTGTGTGCGACTGCCATTTGAAGTGGCTGGCTGATTACCTGCAGGATAATCCGATAGAAACCAGCGGCGCTCGATGCAGCAATCCGCGTCGCCTTGCCAACAAACGAATCAGCCAGATCAAGAGCAAGAAGTTCCGCTGCTCAGGTAATTAATTTATCCAGGCTGTACTGCACTTTCAATTCAGAAATAAGCAGGTCCAGAGAGCCTACTAATCGAATCTGCAGGACAGTGTTTGCTATAATGGATATTATGGAGCATCTTTTAAAATTAAATTTGGAAAATTCAGTTAGTTCTCCAGAAAGCCAATTATCTTATGGATTAAAAAAAAAAAAAAAAGGGGGGGGGGGGGGCAGTCTATAGCTGTCTTCTGTGTGTCTCTTAGAAACAAAGAAAAGAGAAAAGCTTGTGACATTTAATTTTAAAGAATTACTAGGTTATAAAATGTCTAAGGAAAACAATGAAAATGTATATGAATCCATGTGGCAAATATCATATTTTGAAGGGGTGGAAGGTGGATGGTTCGTCATCTGCATTTGGGCAGAACTTTTATTGACCTTAATGAGAGCTGAGCTCAAGTAAGTTCTCAGACATAAAAGGCTGAGAACAGTATGAGTGAGATTTTTACACAACTGGCAATGGGCATTTCTGACCTAGGATGTGAGTGAAGCTGAGGGTGAGGGTACGGCATCGATTCACATACTTTCATAGATTATTTTTTTTTTACATCCACAAGTAACATGCAGTAATTCAAGTAAAACTGCCATCGAAGTTGGTAAGATTTTTGGTTTTAGTAAGTTTTGAATCAAAACTTGCATCATAGTTTAGGCAAAGATTTTGTGCTGTGAACTAGATGGAAAAATGTTTCCACCCAAAAAAACCTCCCAAGTAACATAAACACCTTTTTTCTCAACCCTATCCATTCTTTATTTATGGTCCAGCTATCAGTAAAAGGACCTTTATTGCCTTATACAGCACAACTAAGTAGACTGCTTCTTCATGTGTTTTTTCTATTGGTTATATGTATTTTAGATTACTGATTTTTGTATACTGTAAAGACAAACAGGTTTCAGTGAGCAAATCTATTAGTGTGTACTGAGAAGAAAGATGACTGTTATTGATGGAGTACCTTGCAGTGTTTTCTATAAAAATTACTATGATTTTTGTCTTTCCTCTGAAAAAAAACCCCACACCATGATAAATTGTGTTCTTGGTGGTAAAAGATTAATGACTCTAGATGGGGATGCAGCATGAAACTGAATGGCAGCAGCCCAAAACAAGCTGTTGTTCTTTGTGTATCTCTGCAAGCAATATGCTGAGCTAAACCTTCTCTTTATGGGGAAAATAAAATAAAGATAACTTCATTTGCAGTCAGGTTTTCTTGGGCATGCTTGTTAAAGTCTTCAATCACTTATGACTCAAGCCACAAAATTTATAACCAGAACTGAAATTATGACATACTTTTATCTAAGCTTTTGGATTGTGTCCATCATAGTAACAAGATAATTAGTCAGTAATATTCATATTTAAAGAAACTAGAAATGAAAATGCATAAATATAATTTAAAAAGAAAAGTAGACTGCAGAAACAGATCACTATAAATCTGTACCCAATTTGCCGTTATTTTCTTCTGCTTTTATTAATAGGCTAGAGAAATTAATGTTTTGTATGTGCATGCATGCCTTGAACAATAGTACAGGCTATTGGATGAGGCAAACACCATCTGATGTAATTTATGAAAGGTCATAGCTAAGAAGAGCAACAATGGAGAACACAGTACCTGGTGATGTTGAGAATAATATTTTGTGTGAGTTCTTATCTTGGGGGTCCTTTCCTTGAGGCATTAGGCTGTTTTTTCCTTGGTCTCCAGTTCTACGAGTATATCAAAACCACATGGAAAAGACATAAACCTGACTTATGAAGGAGGAGAGCAGGGATTGTACAGCTTCAGAACAAGGATTTCAGCTGGATGAAAGCTAATTCTATTCAAAAGCTCAATAGAGAAGATATGCTTTCCTGTAGAGTTTCCAGATGGCGATGAGATGCATTGAACTCGACTCACTGTCTGCTCACATGAGACAGGGGGAATGTCTAATGGTTTAGAAGAATCTTAGTTTGTAAATCAATCCAGAGAACAGACATCCTTGGCACCTGTTCTGCTCAAGTTGTCCCTTTGAATCACGGCTGCTTCAGACTTGGCATTTAGCAGGAATTTTCATGTTTGCATTTTGAGGAATATGTTTCATGCCAGGATTTAACGCAGCACGTTTCTGTGCAGAAAGGTCCATGAGGTATGAAGCTTCATCATTCAAAGTCTGACTATCGAGCAGTGCTTTGTGTTATCCAGAGATGAGCCTGCACAATCCCACTGGGATGGCAATGCTTAGTAACTTGTCAGTGTCCTTACTGGCTGTGGGATTCTCCCTGTCTAGTTTTTACATCTTTTGCTCAGTCTATGAGAAAAGAAATTTTATTTTAAATCCTTTTGTAAGTGTGCATCTTTTTTCTCAAAGGGTTCTTGTTTCAGGATCCTGATACTTTCATGCAGTTTGTTTAATATATTTAGTATATGTCAATGGTCAGAAAGATGGTTTTGTGGAAGAAAGCGCAGTGAATTAGGGGTTTGTTAAGGAAGCAATGTGAGAGATTTTATCCAGACCTGGTCTTTGACGTTTGAGAAGTGACAAGGATGCACAGAAAGTGTGAGCTCTGTGGGAGTAGAGGTACTCAGCCAGTGTCAGGATCATACCCATGAGTAGTTAAACTTAGGTGGGCTTAGTATTTTGACATGAAGGAAAGGACCAGTTCTGAAGTCATAAAATTCTGAGGTTGTCCTGAAGCAATCTTTGTGTTTTCCACATTCATTTGGATTCTACAAAATATCATAAAGGGGACTTTCAGGATGGACCTGGCATGAGAAAAAATGTGATTGTTCAGTAAATTAAGAGAAGAAAGGGAAGTGCTTTTTGTATGAGGATAGGAGAGGGGAGTGGTTAGCAGGAATGGGGAAGAAAACCTGAGATGTTTGAAGTTTCATCAGTCTTAAATGGTAGAGGAACATCAAGAAGGTAATGTCAAGAGGACACATTCAGAGATGCAGATGGGCTAAATAGAACTGTATTTGATTAATTAAATAAAACTGTGAAGACAAAATTATGCAGCATAGTAAAAATAAAAAATAATTTAAAAAAAGCAAACCTAGAAAACTTCATTCTGCATATTGTTTCCTTCAGTTTTTATTTCAGCTCCCCACCATCTTTTTAGATAGTATTTAGCAAGGAGAACTTGCCTTCTTTTTTTAATTCGTCATCAAGGCACTTTTCCCAGATGCTATTTCCTCCCTGTACCAAATGACTCAAGCTTTTACTGATAATGACGGAGCAACATCTGCAAAGCTTATGAGTGGTCATAGGAAGGAGATTCTGTGCAACAGGTAGATAATGTGCATAATTCTTTTTAAAAGGAGAATTGGAAGCATTATAGCATGAAATGAAGGAACAGCAGGGAAAGGGGCATGTTTTTGCCTGGGGCTGTGAGACAGGCAAAGTTGTTGAATATACTGTCAAATATGTTTAAGCCTCAGATTGCAATAGATACTATTTCCCCTGTATTTCTGCCTTCTATTTAATGTGATGCACCAAAATAATAATAAACCTCCCCCTTGCTCAACTCTCTCCCCACAGCTATAGCATCTGAGACTAAAAAAGGTTTTTCTTGAGAGAGAAATTGGAGGAATAGGCTGTGACTAATTCTCTCTCTCTTCTGTTTAGAAAAGGAAAATAGTGTCATTTTCAGTGGTAACAGTGAAATTCTGACGATCATTTTCTTCTTGGCTGCATCTGCCCACTATGGCCACCTAAGGATCCAATGGTACTTGCCAGCCTTAGGTCACTGGAGGCTCCCATTCTTAGTAGGAATGGGGGGGGAGAGAACAACAAAAATCTTCTGTCCAGTAGCATTTGATCAAGTTCACTACACAGCAGTTTTATTTTCTAAAGCAGCACTGGGCTTTAGGAGGGGGAAATGAATCTATGAGCAGATTGTGTTGTCTCTGCGGTAGCTTATTGTCACTTCAAGAGTTGGCAGGATCCTTGATTGCTGTGTGACACTGTGTATGAAATGGCTTTTGCAGAGAGCTGCCCTTGTATTCAGCTGTATATCTTTTTTTTTCCCTGTGATGTGTTTGCATTTTTCAGTATATTGTGTATTTCAAAAGCTGTGAAAGTTCCACCTACCATACTATTTCTGATGATGATCAAAGTGTATGTATAGCTACGAGCATCAGATCATGAAAGCTTTTTATCTTCTAATTCTTAGAAATAAGAATCTTAGAAATAAGGTTACTATTTGAAATACTGTGAAGTAAACCTGTCTTCCTGCTTCCTTTTGAGTTGGGCCATACATGTATCTAACTGACTTTAATTAGTTACTTCAGTTCCAGATAGTGCTGTACAAATCAAAAGCACATGGAATAATAGGAGGAGGACAATGAACCATCTGCTAGCACAATTCTCTCCTTTTTGGTCTTGTTAACCCAACCCAAATCAAAGTCAGCCTCTGTCGTACATATGGATCCAGAGCTTGCATATTTAGGGCTAGTGTCATATCTCTTGTGTTATCCCCTGTTATTAGAGAGTAATGTAGTTGCTGTTTGTTCACTCATAATTTCTGAAGGCATTTGATAAAACCTCTTCTTATTAATTGCAGTTTTCCTCCTAATTCTTTATGTGTCTTTTCTAGTCTCTGTCTTCATACATATTCACCTTTCTTGGATTACCTGTCTACTTTGGAACAGAGCTCATATTACTTGTGATCACCTGTAATTTCCTTCTCTCTTCTCTGCATTGTTTCAGCCTTAGAAGCATAGAACTGCAGTGGATGGAGTGTTCCCAGTCAGAACGCAGGCTACACATCAGGGCTTTTTGTCCAGTCCCTACGGTAGTTCATACGTTTCCTGTCCCTTGGTCTCCCTAGGTTATCCACTTCTCTGCTCTTAGTGACATGTAAACACTATTTAAGCTCCTTGAGCTCTCAAAATGAAAGATGCAATGTACTGTTACTCCTCAACCAGCACTTAAAAGTCATGAAAGGCAAGTGAATTTAATCCAGATCTTATATAATTTATCTGATTGAAATACTCTCCAGTT